GGGAATGTTGGAATGCACACCCCTAGTCCCCAATAAAGTCACCAGGTTGGGGGTGGGGAGAAGTAGGCACCACATAGATGCCTCCTGTTGCTCTTATTAAGTACCCAGTTCTTTACCAGGTGCTATCAAATAAATTTGGGATGAGCTGATTTCATGCCTATGGTTGACAATTCAAGGATGAGTCCCATTAAGGCATCTTATTAAATGGAGCTTCTGCTGTTGAAGAGTTCCAACAAGCATTATGCATTACTTCATTTCCTAGTGTTTGGTGGTTGGCTCCCAGCAGCCATTTTGTAGTTGCCTCTGCCTTTCACAGTAGCCATGTTGTGTCAGTCTTCCCAAGGTGCTTGCAGGCGTAAAAAGGTTGAGGACTCTGGCACTAAGGAAAGAGGATTGGGAGGAAGAGGCCGGGAAATTATGAGTAAGTTTAAGATTTCTATTCCACTGAAGATAGCTGGGATGGAAATCGCTGTGGCAAAACACAGGAGACATCAGAGCAGCTTCTTGATGTAGGAGGAAAGGGGGTTCCTTAAAAAGGCAGGGCGCTTCCAGCTAGACTGAAGGAATGGTGGCCTTTTTCTGTTGTAGGCATCCACCCCAACAGCATTTTATGGGAAAAACTTCTCCATAAATGAATACTCATTTCCAGCCACAGACTGGTTGGTGTGTTTGCAAATGTGCACACACACACAAATAAAAGAGCATTTTATGATCAGTGACTTTGTTATGGACTAAGTACCTGGTTCGGCAAGGTTAAGTTGACCAGTGTCAGGATCTGCCTCCATGGAGTTAATATAGTTAACCCAGAGGTATGTATGTGGATTACATATAGATTTAGGTAATGATGGATGGGAATTCAAACCAGAATGACCTTACTCAGTTGAATCTGTCTGCTCTCCCTGAAGGCATTGGAGCCAATTTGGGCTGCATTTATATAAACAGAAAAACGAATGTCTGATCTGGGTCATTTCTTGATTGAAAAATTGTTTTGTTTAAGGATTTAGATTTTTTTTGCTGCATCAAGTGCTTTATACCCAAGAGGCCGAGGTAACAAACAAACTACTAATGATCCAGGAGAAGAGCACCGAAGGGATTTAAGCAGTCCTTGTGGAAGAAGTTCATAGTCTTTATTATCTTCTTGAGTGAGGGCTTTCAGTATATTTGTTAGAGGAGAAATTCGCAAGGGGCTTACCCGAAGTTACAATCTGGAGTACATACTTTGGATTCATCTCGAAGGTCCCCAGAGTTTCCAGGGCAAGGATGGACATCCACTTGAGGCTCTGGAAAGGTACTGTTAGTCAAAGTAGCATGTGGTTGACTAGAGAGACCATTTTTGTGACTCAAGATAAAGCAGCTTCTCTCCCAGTGTCGGAGACTAGGACCTCCTTGAGAAAGATGGGCATCAAGTTCTGTCCTTCTAACTGAGACTCTGGTCTACATCAGTAGCAAGTTAATCAACCTCCTCCCAACCAGGTACGTATAGGATCTATATATTTTGGCAGTGTGTCCCCCAAAATTGTAACATATCCTGGAGGATCTGTAGAGATTTTCCCTGCCATTTTACCTCTGAGGAACTCTAGACGCTCTGTTCTTATTACTGAAGGAAGAAGCCACTAGGAGCAAAGGTACTGATATTCTGCCATGAGCCTGGTTTTGAGAGAAAAAAGTTCAGTTTGTCTCTGATCGAAGCTTGAAGCTTGTTGTCTTTGTTTTTCCAGTTGGGATGCATTCATACATGGACACACACAAACAGGAAGTTGGATTTAGTTTGAACTCTCCTGTATTTTTAATCATTTCAATTGAGGGTGTTTTTTTTAGCATCATAAACGTTTGTAGTTAAATTAGGGAACTGATTTGATCATCATTTCCTCTGGTTTCTCAAATGGGAAACACGTTTCCGGGTCTCACACCCTCCCCACCCAGCTGCGATGCACAACTGAGGAATACATTCAAGAGATCCCGCGTGCCAGATTTTAGACAACTTGGAGACATTCTGCCCATTCTAGAGGCAGCTCTCATTTTTACTCACAGACAGGGTTGAGAGGGGGGGAAAGGCTTTAAACTAGAGATGTCAAACTCATTTGTTATGAGAGACAGGTCTGACAGAAACGTCACTTTGTCAGGCTGGGCCATGTGTGCCATTAAACATAATGCCAGGTAAAGTAAAGATAAAGGTTCCCTTGCTCGAAAGCCAGTCGAGTCCGACTCTAGAAATCAGAATTTCTCTCCAGTAGTGTAGAAGTCTTTTAAATGTTTTCAGGTTCAACTCACACTCTGGTTCTCACACAGTTAGGGATGAAATCAAGCCTGCTGAATGTGTCAGGCTCACAAATGAAGTTTGACAGAAAAATGCCAGTCAGTAATGACACCTGTTCTGATTTTGGGTTTAAAACTAGTTTTTATGTTCATTTGACATTCTGGGGGATGGTCGTTTCTGAATACACTGGCAACTCGGAATGATCACCCACTGGTAGTACTCCAGGAAATGAGATCAAGCCTACAGGATGGGATGAGGTGGGTTCCCCCTCCATAAACACTTTGTTTAAAAGAAAGCACTTTGCAGTCAGCTGAGATTTTCTAGCCTCTAAAGATTTTCTCATCTACAAATTTTGCTGCCTTCTTGTTTATCCTCTTAGCCCAGGATTGCTAAGTTTTCCTAAATTCCTTTGATGATGAGAATTTTGCCCTGACTATCTGTTTGGGAGGGGGAAATTATTTGGACAGTCGAGGTTAAAAAATGAAACAGTTAGTGTTCCTGCTCTCCTGGAGTTGCAGAGGGTGATATTTTGTTGTTTGTTATGCTGATTCCTTAGCATAAACACTTATTGATAGATTAAAAGTGGGAAGACTGTGAGGATTCAGAGAATGATCGACCACCACCACCACCATCCCTTGTCCTCTCCCTACAGTTTAGTGTAATGGTTAGGAGTGCGGACTCTAATCTGGGAGAACCGGGTATGATTCCCTACTCCTTCACGTGCAGCTGTTCTCTCAAGGGCAGTTCTCGAAAGAGCTCTCTCAGCCACACCTACCTCACAGGGTGCCTGTTGTGGGGAGGGGAAGGGAAAGGAGATTGTAAGCTGCTCTGAGACTCCTTCGGGTAATGAAGGGTGGGGTGTAGATCCAATTCTCTTCTCTTCTTCTATTTCCTTTTTATCTCTCTCTGGCAGCCTCTATAGGTTCATCCCTTTCTTTGCTCCTTTAATCCCTCCCATATACCCGCCAGCCTACCTAACCTTTTCTGACAACCCCAGTCTTCAGCTTTCCCTTTTCCTAGTAGCCCCTTCAGCATCCCCCCTTTTGTTCTCTCTCATGATCCACCTACATTTGTCTATTCTCCCCTTTCTGCTTTACCCAGGCCCGTAGCCAGGATTTCTTTAATTTGGGGGGCCTTTAAATAAGTCAGGGGGCACCCTGCACATACTCCTGCACACACACCCAAAGGAGCACCTGGGCTAGATGGGAAGTCAGGGGGGCTTGGTGGTAAGTCAGGGGGGCAGGCCCTGAGATGCCCCACTGTAGCTATGGGCCTGGCTTTTCCCCTTTCTCTCCCCTTCCCCTGCATCCTTCCCTTCATTCAGTTGTGTATCCTTTTCAGTCTCCTTCCTTCTTGACTGAAAACAACCAAGTCATGGGAGAGTTCAGATTTTTCTGAAAACTTGGGGCGTTCCCCAGGTTTGCAGAAAATCCCCATATCTGTCCCTAACCCCACCGTGTAGATTTTTTGATCCATACACTAGGGCCTTGTTCAGAATTAAATAGACAGATACCGTGTTTCCCCGAAAATAAGACACTGTCTTATATTTATTTTTTCTCAAGAAGACACACTAGGGCTTATACCACAAATGCATAGAAATCCTGCTAGGGCTTATTTTTGGGGTAGGTCTTATTTTCGGGGAAACAGGGTACAACACACCTCCCATCCTAAGGCTGGAGCAGTGCCAGGACAAGCATTTTTCTCAGTGGGATTATACATTGATTAGGCAACACAACTAAGACAACAGGACGTGCTGCAATTGCTGAAAAAACAAAGGCAGTAGAGATGACACTCATCAGACAGCCAACTAACATTGGGCAGAACTGCTGAACTCTCTAGCTTCTCTGCTTGCAGGATGGCAAACAGGTGTTAGAGGGCAAGTATAAACCATGGTTAGACGGTGCCATCGATGCAACGAACATGAAATTGAGCAAACTTCAGAGGACGGCGGAAGACAGGAAGGCCTGGCATGATCTGGTCCATGGGGTCGCGAAGAGTCGGACTCTACTGTGCGACTGAACAACAACAAAAATAAACCATGCTGACACTACATTGAGGGATCACAAACATGGTTAGGAGAGGACTAGTAATAATCATTGTCACGTGTTACGGATGGTGCCAGTTTTTTAGAAGGGTAATAATGAATACTTTTAGATATATTGGCCAAAAGAGGATAGGAATGCCTTTCACAGTTAAAACATTCGGGAGGCAGATTCAGATTTAAGGTACCTTAGAGAGAATGAGTAGAGAGTCTTTCTGTTTGGACTGAGATCAGGATTCTGAGTTAAACGGGGTACTTTATATACACTTCGCCACGAGGAAAGAAAAGTCTGGTTTGCTATTCCTATTGAATCTCTCAGTATTCCTCTTTCTCTGCAGGGAAAGGCCCCGGATGGAGCCAGAAAACTTTACCTCCAGTACAGAGTTCATTTTGGTGGGACTTTCAAGTGACCATGAGACAAAGATTCTACTCTTTGCAGTCATTCTCCTCATCTACACATTTACCCTTCTGGGGAACCTAGGGATCATCATGTTGGTACTGGCGGACTCCCACCTCCACACGCCCATGTATTTCTTCCTCACACACCTTTCAAGCATGGAGATCTGTTATGTCACCAGCACCATACCCCAAATGCTGGCTCACCTTCTAACAGGTCATGCAGGCTTGTCCTTAATCCGTTGTGCCTTACAAATGTATGGAGCTTTATCTCTGGGTTCGGCTGAAGCGCTTCTGTTGGGCGTCATGGCCTACGACCGTTACTTAGCCGTCTGCCATCCCCTGATCTATGTCACTGCCATGGGAAGATGGCGCCAGTTGCAACTTGCCTCAGCCTGCTGGGTGTGTGGCTTTTTTGGTTCTGTCATATGTGTGTTCCTCACCTTTAGCCACCCCTTCTGCGGCTTTGGCCTCATCAACCATTTTATCTGTGAACTGCCGATGGTGCTGAAACTCGCCTGCGATGACACCCGCATCACAGAAATCATCGTTTTTTTCCTTGCAGCCGTGGTCATCTTTGGGCCACTTTCAGTTATCTTGACTTCTTATGGGCTCATTCTTTTCTCTGTGTACAAAATGAGGTCGGCTAGAGGATTGCGCAAGGCCTTCTCCACGTGCGGCTCCCACCTAGCTGTAGTCACCTTGTACTATGGCACCACCACCTTTATCTATATCATACCCCAGTCCGAAATGTCTCCTGGGAATGAAAAGAAAATTGCTGTGTTTTACGTTGTGGTCACCCCGCTCTTGAACCCCATCATTTACACTCTGCGGAACAAGGATGTACACATGGCAGTGGCCAAGGTGGTGCGGAGACTGGGCTTTGGGAAGAAACATTAAGTGTCGACACTGGTCCAAGGGAATCTTCATTTGCCAATGATCAACACTTTTAATAAAGTTCTTGAGTGCTGGGTGTTTGCAGGGAAGATTGAGATGTTTTCCGTGCAAACAGGTCTCTCCACTTCTGCCTTTTTATTCCTCTGCCTCTTTCACTCATTTCCACAGAGGTATTTTCAGTCCAAGGTGCAAAAACGAAGTTTGTCCTCTCTTGCATGGCAGCATCAGACATCCCTGTTTTCGGGAATTCCCTTGCTGCACCACAAGAGGGAGCAAAATGTGTTTTTGCTCCTCGGACTGCAAATACCTCTTGCAGAAATGAAAGAAAGCCACGAAGGAATACAAAGGCAGGAGTGAAGAGGCCCATTTGTGTGGAAAACGTCAACATTTCTGCTGTACCTAGATGTTGACTCAGTGGCTCTGGAGATTAGTATCTGTCTGAACCACATTACGAAACCATAGTGAGATCATTTGATCATCATCATCAACATCTTTCTTATCATCTCTATCTTTCAAGTGACTGACAGATGAGAGTGGTATACAAGGTTCTCCCCTCTATTTATCCCCACAATAAAGCTGTGAGACTTGTTAGGTTAAAGGAGAATACCCATCACAAGCACTTCCAGTGACCTTCCAGTGGGAAGAACGTGGGCTTCCTTAATATCAGAACAGAGCTTACTGAATCTGATGGATACGAAATAAGATACATATTACAAAAATGTAAACAGAGCAAGACTCAATGTAAGCACTTAGATAAGCACTGTAAATGTTATTAATACATCACGTTCCCTCTGGATACACCCAAGTATGCATAATCCCAGACTATCACATTCTACTTTCGAAGGAGCCTTTGGCGGAACACAATACCCTGCAATATCCTACTTCCTTTGTAAATGTACAATGAATTTTTCATAGACACTTATTGAAGGCTTTTTCTAGATTTATATATACTTTTTTTTGTTTTTGGTTACCTGTTTCCTTACTGTGTATCTCCCTATTTGTTTGTAACACCCCAATCAAGGCAGGGTATTTCCTGCCCCTTGTACTTGAGAGCCAGTTTGGTGTAGTGGTTAAGTGTGCGGACTCTAATCTGGGAGAACCGGGTTTGATTCCCCCACTCCTCCACTTGCACCTGCTGATGTGACCTTGGGTCAGTCACAAACTCTGGCACAGCTGTCCTTGAAAAAGAGCAGTTTGTGTCAGAGCTCTCTTAGCCCTACCCACCTCTCAGGGTGTCTGTTGTGGGGAGGGGAAGGGGAAGGAGTTTGGAAGCCACTCTGAGACTCCAAGTGGAGGGTGGGGTATAAATCCAATTTCTTCTTCTCTTCTTCTCCTTCTTCCTGCTGCCACTAATGGCTGTTGGGCCGATGGCGTGACATCACTTCCAGGGGAAACCTTGAAGTGACTTCAGTGCTCTCTAGGAATTGCTGGAAACTCTATGGTTTCCTAGAGTTCCCTAGAGAGATGTGACATCCAGGAAAACCTGGAAGTGACACCATGCCCTCACCAATGCCCACCTCCCCATGTCTCCACCCCCACTGGGTTTCCAGCTGGTTGCCAGCTTGTGCCATTTATTGAAAGGTGAAGAAAACAATGTAGTGCTGGACAAGCCTGGTTAACAATGAAATATATTGAGTAATCTCAAAGTCACAGTGAGGGAAGAAGTAAGCTTCAGTCTCTGGCCTTCAGCTCACACACTTCAGGAAGGACTGGGTGTTTGGCAAGGCCTCTCTTCCTTATAGGCTCTGAGAAGCAACTTTTCCTTACAGCAATAGATGACCCATAAAGGTTCTGGAACAAAAGAGGCCCACGCCAGAAGGTGGCTGGTCTTCAGCCCCTTACCTTCCTAGTTATTCCACAGGCTGTGTTCTCTGGATCTCTTTCTTCCATAGAAATCCTCCATCTGCTCAGAGAAAGAAATTGCCTCAGGTCCTTCTTCTTCCCTTCGCTTGGAATTAGCATCCCTCCACCAGTCCTGTTGCCACAGAAATCCTTCGCTAGCAGTGTTAAGAGGCATTCTCTAAAATCCCCTTTACCCAATTTTTCTCTGAAATCCAACAATCCATTTCAAGTCCACTTTTTAGGAATCTGGAGTCTGTTTTGCATCAGTCCTGTTTTGCTCCAAAGAGAAATTAGAAGAGAGGAGAGGCAGGATGGTAGGTTCTGGGGGAAATTCAGAATTTTATTCTGCATATGCTCATTGACAGGCAATGTCTCCCCAAACTTTCATAGCCTCCTGTTAGAGTACCCTGTGGTGTATAACACCCCCCCCAAGCCCTTATCAAGGCTGAAGTTACAAAAGGGAGCACAGAAACACAAAAGAAAACATCAAAGAGAAATCAAAGGGGAACTTCAAACAGGATGAGCTCAGGCCACACAGCTCTGCCAATGGGGAGGATGGGTCTGTTTGCTTTAGAAGTGGCTGCAGGTGGGGGAAAATGAGGGTATTCAAAGCCTTGGATGCAGGCCCGTAGCCAGGATTTCATAATTCGGGGGGGGGGCTTTATATAAGTCAGGGGGGGTCACAAAATAAAAAATAAAATTAATTTTGGAAAAAACACTCGCTTTTACAGTGTTCACACTCTGCCTGGGGAAACAAGCCGCGCTTGGGGAGGGGTCATTGGTGGAGAGTCCGCTGGGTGGCCCAGAGAGTTTGGGGCCTGGGGGCTGGATGAAAGTAAGGGGGCGCCTTGGCAGGAAGTGGAGGGCCAGGCCCCAAAATGACCCACTGTAGCTACAGGCCTGCTTAGATGCCAGCCTGGCTGGGAGTAGCCCTAGCAACAGGGCTGGCCAATCAAGTGAGTAACTTGACCTGTGGTTACAGCAAAAAACAGATCCTGTTTGGGTGAGGCCCTCGATTATAACGCAGACGTTGACTGTCGCCTACATAAAATAATTATTAATGGAAGCTCCAGCTCTTTGCATGACCAAAAGTTCACTGCTACACATTTAGTGATCCATGGAACAAAGTGTTATGTAATCTATGGTGTTGTTACTATTATTTTGGCAGCACCATAAAGAGATCAAATGTGTGTGCATTTACCATCAGGTGTGTGGCAATTACCCCGCCGCCCTTCTCTACCTGTTGGTAATAGCCTGGGCCATGTTCAGAGTCTGTAGCATTCTCAAGAGGGCTGGCAGTTCAGCCTGGCCCAGGAAGGGAACAACAGCTGCAGAAAGATGGGAAAGGCCTACACACATTCAAGAGCTTCAGGCCTAACAGGCTGATGGAACAAACAATGGATTATTTACAACAGAGAGGGGAAGAGCCTAAGGGATCACAGCAGTCCCTGTGGAACAGATCCACAGTCTTTATAATCTTCCTGAATTTTCAGACCTTTGTGGTATCTGTTGCCAAGAGCAGGTGAATGAAACAGTTGTCAAGAACAGGTGAACGAAACAGTGTTCGTGGTGGAAAGTGCTGGCCCTGCTTCTGAGATCTGACACGGTCAAGCTAGCCCAAGCCATCCAGCTCAGGGCACCTTCCGCTTAGAAGGCTTTAAATGTGGGCTGGAGGAGTACTTCTCAGAGAGGTGGAGGAGCTGGAATTGAGAACACATTCTCTGCAAGCATCGCAAAGGCCACTAGCATTTTCAGGGCAAGGTAGGTCACCTAATGGATGGCTTAGACATTTATTTTATTTTATTTTATTTATTTATTTATTTGTATCCCGCCCTCCCAAAGGCTCAGGGCGGCTCACATGCGGCAAAGCCGAAATATAAAATACAATAAAACATGTAACAGAATTTAAAACCACAATAAAATCTGTGCTACATCACGGTGCTGTAATCCTCCTATGTCAATTCTTCCAAGATGGGAACAACCACCCCAATTTTGGCGGCCAGCTATCTTGATAGCGCGGTCTCCCGCGACACTATCTGTAAACTCCTGCCAGGCAATGCTTACCCCCCTTTAATGGGGGCAGCCGATGAAACACTACCGCAGTGGTGGGGTAGTGGCGGCGGCGGCTCCTACTCATAAGCCTGGCAGAAGAGCTCCGTCTTGCAGGCCCTGCGGAACTGCACAAGGATACTGGTCAAAGTAGAGAGCGCTGGACAGAGGGCTGGTTTCCCCCCCCCCCTGATTTAACATAAAGCAGCTTCTTTCCCAATCTTAGAGGCAGGCCAGGACCTCTTTGAGAAAGATGGGCATCAGGAACAACTTCTTTCCATCTTCAAATTGTGTGTGTATGTGTGTGTGGCAAATTAAACAGCACCCTGCCAGCCACTAATGCATATGGTCCATGTTTTGGCTGTGTGTGGATATGTGAGTGTGTTGAAAAAATGTGATTTCTTCTGGGGGATCTTGAGAAACTTCCAGCCGTTTCACCACTGGAGAATTCTAGATTCTTTTGCTCTTCTACTAGAGAAATAAGCCTTAGGAGTTAAGGTCTCAAGAACCTGACACAAGCATTCTTTTCGAAGCAGACCCTCTGTAGCCAACACATGGTGAATTGTGAAGATCTCCCTGGTAAATCAGGTAGGGACCCTCTAGAAGATGTTAAACAAGTGTGTGGGTGACTGGAATCTTCAAAGAAAGGGTATCTAGTAGCAGGATCCAGGTAGACCTCTGACTGGAGATCTTGGGGAGCTACAGACAATACGGGGCTTGGTGGACCTACAGCCTCCCTCTGAGAAAGTCTCATTCTGTATTGATGTCAGACTGTCCCTGAAAAGAAGCCTGAAAGTATGACTGGCAAATAAAATTCAGGGGGGGAGGAGGAGAGGTCTCACCTTGTGGCTTTTGCTTTCTCAAGTGCTCTCTTTATGATGCATGAGACAAGTGAGGAGAAGACAAAGAAATCCCTGGCATTTCACCTGAAACATGGGGGTGGGGTTTAACCGTTAAAGGAAGCCTAAGGGCAGTTTTAGCGATGGTTTCACTGCTACGTATCTCTGTCAGAGGCACTGAAGTAGGGATGGGAAGTGGGTTTACCTCATGGAAGGGACAACCATGCGACCCTTTGCTTTGTAATCTGTGCTTGGATAAAGGTAAAGGTAAAG